CTCATTCGCTGGGTTACTATCTGCCCAACGTCTCCTAGGCCTAATAGCGTAAACAAAATGAGGCTTACTATATGATTAGCATATAACCCCCAGTAAGACCAGAGGGATGTCCAATACAAAGGTGGCTTACTGTATTATTTTATTAGCACGTAACCCCCAGTAAGACCAGAGGGATGTCCCCTAATACAGAGGTGGCTTACTGTATTATTTTATTAGCACGTAACCCCCAGTAAGACCAGAGGGATGTCCAATACAGAGGTGGCATACTAGTAACAATACTTCAAACTTAGTCGAAGACAATCAACACTACCCTGAGCTTCTACATTGCTTAGATCTTCAAGGTCTCAACACAGTCCTTCACCTTTTCATCTCGATGGGCATGTGTTTATATACACCACTAATTTACACGGTATAAACGTGTGTAGCTCAATGGAAAAACTTAACTACATTTTACACTTACAAACGTCTACTTTAATGACTCATGGACTTTGGAGAATTCTTCCAACTCAGTATTTTTCCAGTGATCTTACCCAAAACGCAAGTTAAGTTTGTTTAAGTTCTAGCTGTAACGAACAGCACGTCATGCATGATCTAGCAGTTTTAATAGCCGGAAACAAAACATGATTCGATGTTGTATCAGCTTGCATTTAGCTTACTAACAGGTGCACAAGACAGCTCATCTGCAAAGTTTGTTAACCAACCACATTTGTAGAACCGAAAGTGACGTCATCTCACCATGTTTCCCAAAGCTTTGAGAACAGAACTTAGAAATACCTCTACTTGAGGATAAGAGAGTGACAAGATTTAATAAACGACGTAAATCTGATTTTAAAATCAAATATTTACTTCGCTTATTAAGATTTGGTAAGGAGGAATTGTAAGGTTCAGAGAGGCTCACATTTTGCTATGAAGATATATACATGTGAACTTGTGGGGCTGAAAAGCTTCTGGCTGGTTTGGAAAACATATACATGTCATTTAATAGAGAAATTGTGACCCACAAGGGGGTTGAGAAGATATATACATTAGTGTAATTCTAGGGTTGATAAATATTTACAGCGGGTTTAGAAGTTATATGCATTAGTGTAATTCTAGGGTTGAGAAATACTTACAGCGGATTGAGAAGTTATATGCATTAGTGTAAGTCTGGGGCTGAGAGGGATTCGCAACGGGCTGAGAAGCTAATGTATTACAGTAATTCTAGGGTTGAGAAGCTATATAATTAATATATGTTTAGGGGTTGAGAAAGGCTTACAGCGGGCTGAGAAGCTATATACATTATTGTAATTCTAGGGTTGAGAAGCTTTATACATTACTGTAACTCTAGGGTTGAGAGAGACTTACAACAGATTGAGAAGTTATACACATTAGTGTAATTCAGGGATGAGAGAGATTCACGTTGGGTTGAGAAGCTATACACCTAAGTGTAATTCTTACAATTAGGTGAAACTCCAACTTATGTTAGCTTTATTATAAATGCTAGATTAACGAGCGACGATGGTCCTGGAAACAATAACACTCAGGTTGTTTCTGTAATAGTATTAAAACGTGCTAACTTATTAAATATTCTCGACACACTAATAACCTAATAATACGAACTTTCGATTCCGCTGTGAGCCTGATACAGATAGACATACACCCACAAATTAAAAGCATGATCAGATACGCAACCTACCAGAACACTGGCTACCATCATAATGACTCAAACATTACGAGTCAAACACTAACTACAATCATATTAGACTCAAACATTACGAGTCAAACACTAGCTACAATCATATTAGATTCAAACATTATGACTCAAACACTAACTACAATCATATTAGACTCAAACATTATGACTCAAACACTAACTACAATCATATTAGACTCAAACACTAACTACTATCACACAGAATCAAACATTTCGAGTCCAACACTGGCAGTGAATCATTAAGGGTCAAAAACTAACTACCATCAAATTAGACTCAATCATTATGAGTCAAGCTCTGGCTACCAGCACATTGACTCAAATATCTTGAGTCAAACAACGGCTACAGTTATATTAGACTCAATCACTATGAGTCAAACACTGGCTGTCATCATATTAGGGTCAATCATTATGAGTCAAACAGTATATTAACTCATTTTTAGTCTTTAATCATTCACATAGTTTTGGATCTCTCTACAAGAAAGTTTCTGCTTTAGTTTATATAGGAATACGACGTCCTTTCCATTTCAATCAGAGAATAAATGTTGTTGTTGTTTGGGGGGGGGTTACCTTACTAAATTAATTGTTTTGCGACTAAAACGGATGTGACATATCGGCAGCCTTAACAAACACCATGAATTAGTTTAGGTCCTTGGGCGTGAATCATCGGTAGTCTTAACAAACACCATGAATTAGTTTAGGTCCTTGGGCGTGAATCATCGGTAGTCTTAACAAACACCATGTATTAGTTTAGGTCACCGGGCGTGAATCATCGGTAGCCTTAACAAACACTATGTATTAGTTTAGGTCCTTGGGCGTGAATCATCGGTAGTCTTAACAAACACCATGTATTAGTTTAGGTCATTGGGCGTGAATCATCGGTAGTCTTAACAAACACCATGTATTAGTTTAGGTCACCGGGCGTGAATCATCGGTAGTCTTAACAAACACCATGTATTAGTTTAGGTCCTTGGGCGTGAATCATCGGTAGTCTTAACAAACACCATGTATTAGTTTAGGTCCTTGGGCGTGAATCATCGGTAGTCTTAACAAACACCATGTATTAGTTCAGGTCCTTGGGCGTGAATCATCGGTAGTCTTAACAAACACCATGTATTAGTTTAGGTCCTTGGGCGTGAATCATCGGTAGTCTTAACAAACACCATGTATTAGTTTAGGTCATTGGGCGTGAATCATCGGTAGTCTTAACAAACACCATGTATTAGTTTAGGTCCTTGGGCGTGTATCATCGGTAGTCTTAACAAACACCATGTATTAGTTTAGGTCACCGGGCGTGAATCATCAGTAGTCTTAACAAACACCATGAATTAGTTCAGGTCACCGGGCGTGAATCATCAGTAGTCTTAACAAACACCATGAATTAGTTCAGGTCACCGGGCGTGAATCATCAGTAGTCTTAACAAACACCATGAATTAGTTCAGGTCACCGGGCGTGAATCATCAGTAGTCTTAACAAACACCATGTATTAGTTTAGGTCATTGGGTATGACTTATCGGTAGTCTTAACAAACACCATGTATTAGTTTAGGTCATTGGGTATGACTTATCGGTAGTCTTAACAAACACTATTAGTTTAAATAGGTTTAAAGCAACAGAAAGTCGTATATAGAATATGCAGAATGATGAAGCTATCTTGTTCTGTTCATCTACATCAAACCATTTGTTTTGTTTGACATTTTTAGTATATTTAGAAAATAAACGTTCTTAACGAGCAGTTATTTAATATTGTATGTTTTCTGGGTACACGTCTTACGTCAGTCTTTAAATGAATGCTCCAGACAATTCACCTAGTCCTTTCTAAACCGGGCGTGGCCTAGTGGTTAACATGTTGAGTTGTAAATCGAAGAGTCTGAGGTTCGAAATGTGATGTCACTTTCAAAATTTGCAGACAATCTTTGTTATTCAGTTCAAAGTCGGAGGAACCCCTTGTGGCGACGAGTGCTACTGGATAGCTGGCTTTACTTTGATCATTATGTAAACATTAGGGACGATTTTACATGAACGATAAGGGTTTTCTGACCTGGTCACTTAGCTTGACGTGCGCATAAGGTCATGGTCATGTTGTAGATTCGCATTCCTTTCGTTTCTTAAGCAGATATTTATAAAATGTAGTAGTTGGTTTTCAGGAAACGAGGATCCAAAAACTGTAAGGAACTTGACTCAAAAACTGAAACTTTGTCCATTTAGAGATCCAAAACGTACGTGAATCACCTAGTAAGACTTCAAACATCTTGGAAAAACACATCACAAACAGAAACGTTGTTATCATAGAGGTTCACTTGACGAAACTTTAAGCACCTTGAATAACACCCCAAAAACCGAAACGTTGTTCTCTTGAATATCCAAGGATCACTGATCTCACCCGATGAGACTTGAGGCAGTCTTGATTACACATGAAAAACCGAAATGTCGTTACCAAGTGATCCAGGATGATTATCAGAGCAATATGTTATAATTCATAGGCCACAGGTATAATATACCATTGTTGCAGTATGGTGTATAGCTTTAAATTTATGCCGTATTTCTTGAAATGGACAGTTTAATTAACTGTCACGACATACATACCAAATTATGAATAAAATAAAAGAGTGACTTATTGTAATGCCATTTTCTAAAGTATTAAAAGTTTTACTGTTCAGTTCTTCCCGTGACTTTATCTTAATAATAATAATAATAAATTCAACAATGTTCATATAAAATATAACTTTAATACTGCTCAGTTCTTCCCGTGACTTTATCTTAATAATAATAAATTCAACAATGTTCATATAAAATATAACTTTAATACTGTTCAGTTCTTCCCGTGACTTTATCTTGAGAACAATAATAAATTCAACAATGCTCATATAAAATATAACTTTAATACTGTTCAGTTCTTCCCGTGACTTTATACTTGAGAACAATAATAAATTCAACAATGCTCATATAAAATATAACTTTAATACTGTTCAGTTCTTCCCGTGACTTTATCTTGAGAACAATAATAAATTCAACAATGTTCATTTTTCACTAGTTAACACCGTCTGAATTTGTAACCTTGACAACTGCGATGATGATTTCAAAAATGAAAGTTTTAAACTTTCAGTTGTTTATCTTCAAACAAATATGTTAAAATATATTATGGAATTAAAAATGTCAGATTCAAGAACAATCGTTCCCGACTACAAAGAGTAAAAGATAAAGTTAGTAGCATCTAGCGAACTTTCTTGGACTTCGTAAATTACTCAGTTAAACAACTTACACTGTCGGTTATGCCTGGTGATATATAAAAACAAAACTGAAACCTTACCTTGTGTCATAAACTTTTCCGCAAACGTACGGGACAATAATTCTATATACAATCACATATCAGTCTATGAGATAAAAAAACACACACATTAATTGTTAAGTGCTTGCATGCTTAACTCATTCTCCTCTGTGTACGAACACTGCAATAAACTGTTGGGAAAAATTGGCCTTATAAAACACACCACTTGGTGGCGCTGCAGAAGAGCTGAGTAATTGTGCAACGTTTTGACGCATAACGAAAATGTAGGGAACCAAGTGAAAAAAATTAGCTTTCTTTAATTCTTGTATGGTCACCACACGCTTTGGTTTTTAAATTATAACTTAATGTTTTAAATGAAATATAGAAAAAATAACATAATGTATGGGCGAAATAATTAAAAAAAAAACACGAAGGTTGTTGTTAAAACAAAGCTACGTCCACAGCAGGGAATCGAGCTCTGGATTTTAGTCTTATAAACTTCAAGCTTATCGCTGAGCTACTGGGGGCACGCGTGAAAAAGTGCTTTTGTATTAAGTTCTATAGCTTCAATTGAAAGGGTGTAAATTTAATTTGTCATTTCTACTCAAACTTCATCTAACGTCTTTGTGTCCGTTTATAAGTGACGATTGACAACAAACCTGGCATACTCCCTTAGGGCCAACAGGGGTATTAGATGTTGGTGGGAGGTCGGAATCCCTATGTCTTCCCTGTTTCAATCTCTGAACAATTTTTGTGTAGGACTGAATTTCTCGTGCAAATATTTCAGACGTATCTAAATTATTTTGACACAATTTATAGAAGAAGTTGGTTTTGTATCAAAGTTAAACTTCAAGTGTGACAGAGTTAACAAAGGTTAACAAAGGTAACTAAATAAACCCTCAAGTTACCGACTTGTTTAATACTGTTCAGTACCGGTAGGGCCAACATATTACAGCATACTGATTAATTTTATGTTTTTCACACGTTGTGTAAATAAGAGATTAGAAAACAACTTATGAAAAATTTCGTCCATTTATTATGGTTCTGTAATCAAT